GGACTACGGTCCACCTCACAGAGACTGATAGCAGAGGCGGTAGAAATCGCCAAGCATACCAGCGTTAACAGAATGGAAAGCGTGGAACTGGCAAGCGTGTGGAGAACGGTCTTGGGTCATTCGAGCTAACACGTGTTGGTGTGCGATCATCAGAGGGGAGAGTAGTCATCACCTGAACTCCACTTAACCTTACGCACCTCCCCTCCCCCCAACATTCACATCCCCCGATGATCAAGGATCTACCAGTGGCACCCGGGGTGAATCGTCAAGTGAAGCACCCTGAAGTGGAAGATTAAGGAACGAAAAGCGATCGGAAGTAATTTGAAACTCCTCCAACCCACCAATTCAAGATTTTGACACCCACGCTAGCCGACAAGAGCTGTTAATTGACACTCAACACTGATCTAGTGTGAAGAGGACTTACTGATTGGTTCCCCGTCTGTCTTTTAACCTGGCCAATCTGTTGACCTGTTCACTTGGCCTGATGAAGCTTCTGTGTCAAAAGCGAAACGTTGCCCAAATAAAAACTACCGATTGTTTACCAAGCTCTTCTGAAACGATGACTTCTCAATCGGTTCCAAACTTTTTCCAATTGATTGAAAATAACGTTTGTTGTTCCAAAGACGCAAAAATATGCCCTTTTTCCAAATATCAAAGAAGAAGTCGAGCTTAACCTGCCATGTTCAACTAGTGACCCAAGTTATCCTGAGGGGATCATAATATCACGCCAAAGTTCCAACCCATGAATAGATCGGACAGACAAAGTTGAGGCGAAGTACAACTATTCATGATCAAGTAACCGATAGAATGCATGATAAAATATTGCTTAAAAACTAAGACATCACACGTTTGCTTTGATTAGGAAAGGGATGGTGCTTGTGCCTCAGTACTAGTGCTTCCTTACCTGACGATCATCCGTGAATTCGCCGCTTACACAGCAAATGGTAGCCGGCCCAGCTAAATTAGACCTAACACCTGTTGCCACCTACGTGTTCTACCATCCCTATTCACCAACATTCTGGTAAAGTATTAAGCTTCCAGTTGACTACGGATTGTAGGAAGGGTGGCTACCGCATAGCACAACAGTGCAAATTCTTCCAAACCATTAAGAATCAAAAGCTCCAGTTCTTGACTCAAAAGTTCATGGTTCAAATTTAGTCTCTAACTCTTCGATCTCCCTTATCACGACAGTACTCACGCCTTTAGGTCGAGCCTGCATTTTCACAGCGTAACATAAGGCACACGAAAAAGTAAAAACACACCCACCAAATACCTGAGCGAATTTCCTTGCCACATGGGGCAAAAGTTTGAAGACAAACAATAGCCTAGGAATGGATGCTCTGCCGGCGTTTAACCAGTCTCGCGGAAGAGGCAGTGTCCGTATACACGCATCCACTGCGTATCGCATCTTCGAACTATTCGGACAAATTTACGACTTCAATCAGAATCAATACCTTAATTTCTCCAGCATCTTGAACAGTTTTATATAGCCTGGATTAAGTCGCGTCCCAATTGTCGTTATCTGCAACTTAGAGCTTCGGGGAGAACAGAAACTCACCACAATAAAATGTGAAACAATCAAAAGGTAGTACAATAACCGCAATGTATTATATTCCGTTACGGTGGAAAATTCTTCGATATCACAGCCCTTCTCATTGAGAATGTGAAGAATGCTCTCCACTCGTAACGTATTCATCGTCAAGAAGACAATCTGCCGCTCACAGTCATAGTATCCATCAAGATAGGGCTGTGTTGTGTTCAGCCAGTTACTCTAGTAAAAGAGGCTTACCTCGGACAGTTCCTACATGAAAATAGACGCATTAAAAAACGGAGACCAAGACGTACCAAGCCACCTGATGTTGGCTTACACGGATGTCCTGAAACATTTTGCTGCGGTCGTTCGCCAAGGAACGAGTCATACTCTCCTATTAGCGATATCACGGTAATCCGCCGAGATTTAAGAGGGAGTATTCTGTGCAATAAAGTTTGCTGGACAGCAAAAATGAGGGCATACTTGAAATCAAATCGTGGTGGAATAGTGAAACAGCCTTCATGGTAGACTTGCTCAGTCAACATGCTCAAACAGTGAGTTCAATGTGCTGCAGGGATGTGTTGCTAAAAATTTATTGAATCCATGTTCAATTTTGGATTCGATTACTGGACCGAAATTAACAGTAAGAAGCATTAATCGGGGATATTCAGTCCGAAAAATCAACAAAATCTCATAATTGAACTGACAAGCTTGTTCAGTAGCGACAAACACTCACTAGCTGACAGCTCACCTACTCGATGAGCCTGCGAACTTCATCAGGAACACAGACAATAGCGAAAGTAATGGAAATCAGTGACTGTCTGCTTTGTGATGTCCAGAATGAGTGAAATATCCTTTGCACAAAGCACTTCCAGTCGAGTACTAACTACCATAGAGCAGTAGCGACGAAGCAAAAAGAACTGCCAGCCTAGGTCAATTTCGGTTGCTTCAGACCTGAAGGTTCACATGTCGACGTGCGGAACCATTGAGAAACTTGAAAATATATTTGCGATTATCAAAGTCCAAGGAATAAAGTACAAAAGCCATATCAAGTGTTAGAGAAGTAAGGCAGGAGTGGCGTGCAGTCAGTCGCTTGCGAGTTATATAAAATCCAAGGAGGAAAAGGGAGGGACCATAAAATCCAACACTTGAGTCAAACTATCCAGCTTTGATGTTAGTCACAGATTAGGCAAAAACAGCCAAGTAGTAGTGTTCGTCCAAAGGTCACGAAAACGGGAAAGCCCATGGAAATACATGATTCGTTTCCTCCATTTTATCTCACTTAAAACCTTGCTATTCTTTGTCTGTACTGTCAAACAAATAACTTCGAATTGCTGTATGTGTGCAAAACCTCTTGGTTAAAGCCGATTGGGCCACTAGTTAAAGCAGAAGTCAATCTATTGACTATAGCAAACACCCACTCCCATCATTCTTGAAAACACCTACTAGCGTTGTACCTGAATGATAGTGACACAGCACACCAACTCGGATATATTATTATACGATCAGAATGGACGTGGACGAGGACCGGTGATCCAACGGTTCGGATAATAACTCTGTTCGCATCTCTCTGATGCAGCACCTCACATCTCGCGGCTAAACATTTTCGTTGCGGCTGTTTGATATGGCCTAACTTGAAAAATCAGAAAGAAGACAGGCTGCTTTATAAGCTCACCGCTGACAGCAAGTGTGGATGTAGACCAACGAGTGAGAGTGTGAGTCGACGACCGATGAACGATGCTCAAAAGCGACATTCAGTCAGCTATACTGGATCACTTGGATGCCTAACCAAGACGCCCGAAATACTAGATCTCCACATAGATCGTTCAGGTCATAATTTTCACAAGCGATACGAATTAGACACTTCGCTAACACAAGTTTCAAGACCTATTCAGCGCGGCTGCAACAACCTTCAGGGGAAGAACGGTAGCAACCGTCAGTGACCGAGACACTTCCGCCTCACTCACTTTTAGTCAGGAACCAGCTAGCATTCGACGACTCTCCTACAAAAACGTTCAGGTGAACCAATTTCCGGTAGAGATGCTAAATCAGATATCAGCAATACCATGATCATCACGGAGAAAGCGCCATGCAAGTGTAACAATATAATAATGATGGTTTAGCTGCCATGCCATCCGAAATAAGCGTGAGGGCTGAGATGCGCTCAGGTTTGGACAGGAGTAGTGGGGATGCCTGGATTGTGTTCGAATCACAGACCTTCCACTCACCAAACTCACACCTTAGCTATTGAGCTACCTCGAGCTCAAGAGCAGGCAGACATGTACATGACGAGTATTTGGGGAATAATCTGATACAATCAATAGGGAAAGCTTAATATCTGGGTGCTGTGACGTCGGGTGCGTTAAAAAGCCAGATATTAGTGCTAACATGTGCTTTTCCCCGAGGGGAGTGAGAGGGGTAATTAAACGCTCACTCTACAAAATATCACTGAGCACTGCAACATCCATATTTTGCACCTTCTGGTCTCCGTGTACAATGCGGTTCTGCACTGTATGGTGGATCACAGTGTGATATATTATGCCAGATAATCACCGTAAAAAGACAAATAAGACGAAGAACACAATGAAGGAGACAAGGGTTGTTTTTTGTCACACGCACTTTTACTTTTTGGTACGCAGTTTTTGTTTTTCCCTTCTCATTTTAGTTCGAGGTGACAGTGAAAAATGTATGCCCTCCATTGAACTTCACATTTAGTCATACAGTATGATTTCTGCCATGAGCGCCAAATATAGCTCGCTCTTTATTATCACCAACATTTACGGCAACGCTGGAAAACAGTGTTGCTGCACAAACATCCTAGGTGCCTGAGCCACCAACATTAAGTCAATCTGGACAGAAATCAACGGAATGAATGCTACTGACATCGGATGGCTGCCGTATCGTCCAGTCCCCAGCCAAGCACAGAGAGTCACGTGAACCCCATCCTGAAAGGCAACTAGCACCAACAACGTCGAAACTTTTTGTGGCATCCTTAATTCACTTCCACCATGTCACATACGATTCAGCGCTAGGTTTCTGTGAATCCGAATTAGGCATCGAAGACAAAGGTCTTCTCGGCAAGTGGCAACTCACCATGCGTAACACATTGCCTAACCTACTGCTGGACACACTCATTGAGTGAAACACTGCACGGTTTATCGAATACCTATTTCCTGATCATATCATTGTTGCAGTGTGTTCTCGCTATAGTCCTGTGACATCGGTAGTCGAAGACTTGAAGATATTCCATAATGGTAAGATAGTATTAATCGTTCAGCTGTAACACCCTTTCGGTGTCTAGCTGCAATGCCACTCGAAGGAGGCAGGAGGGTTGGGCTACTATCAGGTTTACCAAGCCTAGACAGCTACGGCCGAGATGCTGAGATTGGATTCGAACCACTGATCTTCGAGTCAGTAAGTTCGCGCCTTAACCGCCGGGCTATCCCGCATATCCTCCATCCAATGTTGCTAGGTCTTGCAGCCGTACAACAATACCACTCGCATTGTGGTCGGATATGCGCGTCCTCTGAGACCCAGTAAGATGCCTTTTTGGTGCTGCAAGTGGCGGGAGTCGGCAAATGCATTCTGCTCTTTGAGATTTATGCGTCGACTTTGTCTGTTACACCACCACCAGAGACTATGCAACTCCCGAGACACGTATGGCGTTCCAGAGCCTCCATTGACACTTCGTGGTTCCTTAGAGACCTTAGCTGTGGATGCAAAGCACATGCTGAAAGACTGGATGACCTTAGCTAGCTTTTTTTAGGGCTCCTGCCCATCTTCGAAAGTGATAACAGCGTCGTCTGTGTATTTCAGGCCAACAAGGTTCTCGCCCAAGTAGATCCGAGCACTGGCTGTACGGCAGTGAAGCATTGGTGTTGAACACTGATGTCATGCTGTCGTTGATGATGATGATGATGATCCGAGCACCGGGGTTTGGGAGACTATCCTGGGTTCGCCTCACTACCCCATCAATGCCGAAGTTAATCAGAGACAGCAACATCAATGTTAGAACTAATGCTTCACAGCCGAATAGTTGTATGCGGACGGAGATACTGCCAGGGCGCCCACATCTAGACAGGAGGATGCTTATGGTCCTCGACTAAAGCCTTTGGCTCAAGAGCCTGACCGCTAGGCAGCGGTATTTGGCGAGGAATGCAAGTCGATTACCATTTTTATGGAACACATTCTAGCACCCAACTTGGAGGGTCAGGGGACTGTGTTGGTCAGACGTCTAACCAGCTGGGCAAACCACCTGGCCCGATAATCTCCCTAGTTGTTCCAACCGTCGGTCTAATTCGCGACTATATGCTTAATGTACACAGAAAGCAAAAAGGCCTTCGCTGCGGAGTTGTTTATTTGAAAACACAAACTGAACAGTTACAGACTATTGGACAGCGAAGCAAAAATCTCATACGTATCTTGTTTACGGAAACTGAATATCTACCTTCTTGAACACGTCTTCCTGAACTTTCCTGGATATTCATTGACTGTTACTCAAATGCAAGCAAATGCTACAGAGCGACTCCACAAATTCCGTAATAGATCTCACTTTTCAAGAGACGCGAAGCGGATTTACGAGAAAACTTACCACTCGCGTGTCTTATCAGCAGTATCTACCGTTACACCAGGTGGCAAGAAAGATGGACCAAGTGGTTAGAGCTCGAATTTAATGACCGGAAGGAAAGAATTTACGTCTACACTTCGGGGCAAGATGGCTCGGTAGTTGAAGGGCGAATTTAATGACCGGAAGGTACGTGATTCGAAAGCGACATCTGCCTCTCGACTTCCCCTGTCTGGACTTGGGCAACCTGGCAGTATCCCAGCCCTTGTGCCTCTTCGTGTGGCACGGCAGCTAGGCACCGAAAGGGTGTTACAGCTGAACGATTATTGATTATTATTACCGTTACACCAGTATAGTTCAATGGATCATGGATTCCCACAAACCGTCACACCGCGGTAAGGTCGTCTCTTCATGACGAAATGACAAATTTAAATGGAAATGAAGAAAGTGGACAGCCGTGTCGGATATCGTTGATTGTAGGAAAGCTTTTGGAGAACTCCCATACATTCTCAAGTACCAATAAGCATGCCAATACACACAACACATGATATTCACACACTTCTGTGGCATACCATGCTGCGCAAGCGTGTTGCGAAGCACGAACCGGTCGACAGAGTCGAACGCACTTCTGAAGTCCAGGAACAGCAAGACTGGAGCGTCTATGGGCATGTCATTGTCCTTACACCTGGCGGAGTGTGGTCCACACAACCCTTTCCGGACGGAATCCTGCTTGATATTCTCGGGTCCTGTCTTCACGTGCTTCCGTAAGACCACGTAAAATAGGCGAAGCAGAGTCTGGTCGGAACGAGTATCTTATCTGAAAATTGACACCACTATCGACTTGCCCTAGTTAGTTGTGACGGTCTATTTTGTCCGGATAAGGGCAAATAGGTCAGACAAATGTCGACTGAGGATTTCACTTCCAGTTCCAAACAGAGTAGATGGAAGTTCGTTTGGACCAGTAGCTAGGTGGCTCTTGATGAAGGAAAACATATTAACTTATTTCCAAAATCCTCTAGGGTTCCAAATTCACTGTCCAGCACTAGAAGGGTCATGTGTACCACGCTACCGTACGGCTTATATTATTTTACGGTTAGGAGACATGGCCCCTGCGGAGAGATGTGAGGCGTTTCCAGGATATCGGCAACAAATATCCCAGAAGTATAGCCCTTATCTGATGGCTTCAACGGATTCGTAACGAGATAATTAGAAAACGGG